GATAGATAGACAGATAGATAGAGACAGAGAGAGATATTTTTTATTGTACCTTTTTCCTTTATCCGCGATTCTCTAATCGCTTTGACAACAGAAGCATTTCACGTGTCATGCCAATAAAGCAAATTGAAATTGAAGTTGAAAGACTGAGAGATGAAGGAAGAATGCGATACACATGACATGAAAGAAACAACAAAACAGAGATAAAAGAGGAATATAAGCAAAAGAGGCACTGAGAAGAGGAGAAACCAAACTGTGTTTGAGTTTTCAATTTGCTTAAGTATACTTAAGGTTTGTGTGGTACACTTAGATTCACATTAGTTAAATCTCTTATTGGTATTCAACTCACACACCCGATGTTTTATTAGACTCTCTAGAGTAAATGACATCCATTTACTTTTATTACAGCAGATGAATGAAATGAAAACTATTATTCGATCTGTGCAGGGATAAACGCAGTGGCAGCGTTTGGCCTCTAGGGGGTCATGGCGGTGCAGCGAGCTGCAGCAGGTTGAGCAATGACTGCAGATTTGTTGCAGCTTGATGTCTCTCATCATCACACACAGAGGGAGAGAGAGAGAGAGAAAGAGAGAGCGAGCGAGCGAGCACAGGCAGCAAGATGCTACAGGCCATATTGGGAATTCTACCTTTGATATCTCTCACATCCAGCTGAGGTTCACCAGACTAACCAGCAGGGGGCAGGGTGACCACACACACACACACACACACACACACACAAAACACATGCACATACACAACACATATGCCCACACAGACCCCCACCAGGGCTGACATTTGCAGCTAAGTGCTGCAATGGCTGGTTATTTATGTTGAGAGGGATGGTGATGGGGAGAGTTCAGCAGGTGGCTGCATTACACTGTTTATCAGACCGACGCAGTGGCATTATCACTTCATGAACCAGCCTACACCCCCCCCTCACATCTGTCTTTCTGTCGTCCTTTTTCTGGGCATACACCCTCTGCCTCTCCCTCCTCACTGCTCCTTGTGTTGTGAAATGCCTCCTGACTGCTCTTCCCTCTCTCCATTTTTCTCCCACAGATGTACATCAGCCATCTGGGTACTTGTAGGGCACAGCTAAGGCACTAGTGTTGCAAGCAGTCTCTGTTCAAGCCTGTTAGCATTACAGAGTCCATTCATTCATACTAGTTTGCAGTGTGTTGACAGCATTAGATAACATGGCAGGCTAAATAAATACAAAATACCCGTTCAGATGTATTTTAAATTCGTAATGATCTAGAAAAATGTAGAATCAGAGAGGGGTTTTTTTGCCTCTCTGTACTTCTTCAGTACATCTGCTGTATTGCCTACTTATTAGGTTGAAATTAAATGCAAGAATAATTACAGCGGAGCACAAATAGCACAAATATTTAATTCAAACTTTCTGTTTTTTTTAATCTACTCTCCCTGTTTTCCCCTCCATCTCTCTCTACTTTCAATGCTCTCACATCCAGCTGTATTCACTCTCGTCTCCCTCACTCCCCCCGCGTCTGTCTCCTCTTCCATCCTCTGTGGTATTTCAGTACAGTGGAGGTCAGGAGCTGCAACCTCACCTGTGTTGTTCTGGTTGGATTTGACTTTGCTGTTGGTCTTCTCTTGCATCGCATGCTCGTACTCTCTCACCTCCTCCAAATTCAGTCCTGTGGGGAAAGCAAAGTACAAACACATACAGCATCAGAACAGAGTATGAAATATGTTTTAAATTTCACAGGTTGTAAATTGAGGGTAAAGTCTTATTTAAAAATACAACAAAGTACAACTGCGGTGTTCCAAATGTTTAACTTATTTCTGTAACTTTGCATCGTTACTGTATTTGTGACCCACCATGCCATTCGTCTATCCACGCTACTGCTTGCCTGTGGCCGACCAGAAGAATGTCCCGGATGTTCTGAAATAATAATGGAAACATAAACATGGCAGGGAAAAAGAAAGCGTAAACTACTTGGTGCTTGAAGCGTGTGTGAAGTGGTACATTAAGCATTATGTTACAGTATGTCATTGTCAGAATAATGGCGATACCTTTGTATAATTACTTTGAACAAGTGAGATTACAGTTGAGATAAGTGGAAACTTATCTCAGCTGTGTTATTTGCACAAAGCTTTGTCAAAACGTAACCCATATTCCTGTAAACGCTCTTTCTTTACTGTAACACTGAAAAAAGGGCGTTGCTAGTTTTGCTTTTACTACTTTTGGTTTTCTTCATGTGTCGTCGCTTGTTATTAAGAGTGATTATTTCCTCAGCTGTTTAACTTGTTCCATCAACCTCTGTAGAGAGAAACTTTGAAAACATTTGTTTGCGTCAGAAGAACAGAGGGCCTTTTACTGTTTTGTGGTGTAAAACAATGCAGCAAATTTCCTAATAAATCTGACCCAATGGTGAATTAATAAAACTTAGTGCAGAGGTCATTTGAGGCTAACAGCCATCTTGGCAATGGTCTTGGTAATTATACTAATGTCTGGAAATTATTGTGGTAATTTATTTGCGTCAAAATTCAACACATGGCACATTCAAATAACAACAATAATAATATCAGGATTGCTGAGGATTGTCATTTTACTGTAGATGTACAAAGTGAAAGACTCCAACACAGAAATCAATGCATAAATAAAGCAGAGCACTTCATTCAATCTGATTATCTGTAAATCCACCTTGTATTCCACCTACAAGGGCTCGTAACATTAACTGCAGATCATATCTTGATCCAACCCTATTTACATCAGCACAGGGGAAAGGCATGATGGGGAAAAAAGGCTCTGTCTCACTTTGTGTATGAAATCCTCGGTTCTGGTCTGGAAGCCGTACACCTCGAAGCTGCACTGCACCCTCTTATAGGAGCACATAATGGGCTTATGCTCTTCTCTCCAGCCTTTCTCCAGAGGCCCTCGACCAGTTTTACTCGACTGCCAGCAACTCAAGTCCTGCACAGAGCAAACAGTAGGTTTGTACGTTACTTGCTGAGTCTGCAGAAACCATGCCGCTGTGAGGCGTCTTCAGGGGGAAACGATGGATGTTTATGTGTACTGCAAGTGTATGTGTGTGTGTGTGTGTGCGTGTGACCATATGTGTGTGGAGGTGCAAGCAGATTGTTGCTCAACACAGCCCATAAGTGTGATAACACACATTAAGCATCTGTGATCAAATGATGATTGGAAAGTGTTGTTTTTATATTCTCACTGTGTCATTTCATCTATTAGATTGGTGTGCTTGTGGTTTGTGTGTGGATGCATGTGTACATGAGCATCTCTGTTAATGTGTGGTGGCTGCATACTTCTTTGTACCCCAGACCTGTGAAGTGACCTTTGTCTCTAAGGACTTGAAGGGTGTAAGGAAGTGTAAAACATTGGTTGGGAGGGAATGAAGATAGGCAGATTTAAAAGGGCTGTGTGGGTGTATTACTGACTTATGCTCTTTTAAGAAGCAAAAACAAACAGTTCACAAGGAAAAAGGTATGTTTTTGCATTTGGACATCATAATTTGTTAGATGACAAGATTCATACCACTCTCATATCTGTGCACTAATGGAGCAAAGGCCAGAAGGTGATTAGTTTAGGTTCAATTCACAGGGGGGAAAAAGCTAGTCTGGCTCATTCAAAAGTTTAAAAAATGGCTACCAACACCTTACTAATTAACACTTTGAATCTTGTTTGATTAATCTGTACAAAAACTGAAATAAAATAACATCAAGTGGTGGATTTTACGGAGAGTTAGCATTGTGTAAACAGTTGCCCTTGCACGCAGTGCGCACTTCAGCTGTGTCAGCAGTTTAAGAAAGTGTATATTGATTAGCTATCACTGCTGTACGTTGTGCAGTGAAACAACAAAAACAACAACAGAAGGATATGAGTTTACAAAGTTCTTCAAAGACGAGAGTAGTTAGGAGAATGCAACACTCTGTTACATGTATTGTCATTTTTTTATTTTTTATTTTTTATTTTTTATTGTCGACATTTTATTCATACTTTGGTCAAAAAAAGAAGTAAGGACCAATCATCAGCGCCAAAGACAGCTTGACAGTATGCCTCAGGTAAAACAACTTGCAATGTGCAGCCTAAAATAAGCATTTAATAAGTATATACCACATTATCGTTCATCAAATTGCTCAGAAAGGAAACAATATCATTCGACACTGTCGTTGTCGTTATAGTTGCGGTGTGAATTTTTACAACTATATATTTATAGTTGTATTTATAGTTATCACTCTTGGTGTGGACGGTCCTTAACTACCCACTGGTTGCCAAGAAATACACAGGGCATGTAACTCTCCACAACATTTTTGTTTGTGTGTGAATTAAACAGGAAACAATGTGTTAACTAGAACTCTAGTAGGTGTAACTTTTAACAGAACAAGGCTAGGTCTTACTCTCTACTTCCAGTCTTTAAGTTAAGCTACTCTACATGTCTCCAGTCTCTAGCTCAGTGGTACTGAGCTTTTCACTTAAACAAGTGCATTTGAAAAAATGTTGTACTATTCCTTTAATGTTATCACACAGATTTTCCTCAGTAGGCTAACGTTTTTTCAACACAATCATTTGTTTCTGCCTTCATGTGGCTGCACACGTGCATATTTGTGTGCTTGTTAAAGTACAGTACGTACCTCCGTCTCTTTGTAGTGCTTTTCAGGGATGGGGTCACTCAGGATATCCAGGAAACTCACATTCTCTGCTGGGGTCGGCGTGTCCCCAAACACCTGGAGCCAAACAGATGGGAGAGGTCATACAGTATAATGAGAACAGACACACATACACTCACACACATACAGTCACTCACTCAGCGGAGTGATGAGAGAGTAGATGAGTAACTGTGTAGAAAACTGAGGTCACACACCATAACACCCCTTACTATATCCCACCCTGAGGCCCTTGGAGCAAATCACACTGGAGCAAAGAGAGGAGAGAACAGAGAGAGAGAGAGAGAGAGCAGAGGAGGGGGAGATAAAAAAAAAAAACAACAAGGACGTATGGGGGATATTAAAAGAGAGGGAAAAAAGAAGAATTATGAGAATGGAATACACTTTTCCTTGAGTGTGAATGGAGGGAAGCTTGGGAGAGTGCACTTTTATCTGACCTTGTTTAAAATTTGTTCTAATGCCCTGCTGAAGTTGTTCATTTCACAGCTGAAAACTAACAAATAAGAAAAACCAGCCGTTAGATAATAGCCCGCTACGCTCCTGTGGTGCTGCTGTTGGTCTGTGTCTACTCAAGGTCTCGGTCCCTCTTATGGAATATGTTGCATTAGCTGGATGTATTGTGTTGCTTTTTACAATGTGCTCAGGGCATGGCGCTCTCATGGTTTCCTTGTTATTGTCTCTCTGCGTTTCTTGTGTGGTCTAGATATTCATACAGACACACAGCGTGCCTTGTCAGTGGTAGTATTCAAAGCCACACTGTAAAACTATGTATTTGTAGTATTACAAGGCCTGCATTGAAATGTAAAAGTAAAAAACAACAACACAGTGACTGTTTTACTACTATATATTATGGGATTACATAATTATTACTTGTGCTTTAATGTATAAGAAACAAATAAAACATGTTTTGCTGTAAACTATAACTATTTTTTATAGGGCAGCAACTAATGAGTTGTTCATTACTGATTAATCTACGTTTTCAGTTAATTGATCGAATGTTTGGTTTGTAAAACTTTGAATATAGTGAAAAACAAACAACAAAAATGTAATAAAACAATAACAAAAAAAGAGCAAATCCTCCCATCTGAAGCTAGACAATGATTTAAATGAATTGTTTCAGCTCTCATTGTAGTAATACATATAATATTATGGATATTTTAAAAGTTCTTCAGTATAGAGTAGAGATATATCATGAAAAAGAAAGTACTTTAGCCCTGTAGTTTATGTGATGATGTGTGTAGATCATGTTCAGCTCTCTTTAAATGCTTGCTTAAAATAATTCTATGTAACCTGTAATTACATGACATGAAACAAGATTCACCACATATCTTTCCTCGAACCAAACTCTAGATCTCCCTATTCTGACATGTTGGGTCTTGTTACTTGACTTAATTCCTTGATTACACAGCACAGACAGAAGGGCCAGACAGACTTGCAATTGTTGTGTGTGTGTGTGTTTATGCATGTTCACTTGGACCAAATGCAGCATGGCAGCCGGTCTCACGGCTGCTGCATGTCAGGTTAATACATCTGCCAATACTGCACTGCATGCAGAAAACTGCTATTTCTCTCCTTCTCCTTGTCCTTCTCCTCCCCCTCTTCCCTAATCACTCCATCTCTCTCACCTCTCGCTCCCTCTCCGTCATACTCACATTGTCGTTATCACCATTGTTGTTCTCGAATCTCGTCTCAATACGGATACTGAACTTGGGGAGGAATGATACCTACGGGGGTGACAAGAGGTAAAAATGGAGAAAAAAGGGTTGAGGGCAGAGATAGAGAGAATGGAAGCAGGCTGCAGATTAGATCCACTGATACTGGAAAGAGATGAGCTCTGTTGCATTCATGTACAGTAAATGATGTGTGAGAATACTTACTGAGTACTCTGCAGCACCAGGGACGTTCAATATGGATAGGGAGAAACGGCATTAGTTACTCATACATGCATGAGCACGCAATTGCTCTCACACATATATACACATTACCACAGGGGAATACATGCAAACATAGTGCTAAATATTTGATGGCACTTGGAAAACCAGCTGTTAAAAGTAAATAAGTTTTGTATAATGCATTGAGCTGAAAGTAAGCTGATGTTTAACACAATCAAAGGCACTCATAACACACCTGTGATGGTGTACGGGTAGAAGTTCCAGGCCTTTTCTGTCACATAGAAGAATCGCGGGACGAACGCTTTAATCCAGGACGGCAGTTTACTGAAAAGCAAAACAGGAAGCAAGAAGAATCGTGGTCACAGAGTGGAAGAGTAGGCGAGGGGGATTATAGAGGGAAACAGAGAGATCCTAAGTGGTTTTTGTGCCATTTATATCCAGATTACCTGTAGGCTACTCACACCGCAGCGTTCATTTGTATGACTCATTCCCAATTACACCTGTGGTGATGAATTGTTACTGTAGCTTCTAGGTCACATGTCAGAACATGATTGAGGTAGAATACATTTTGCACTCACTGTACTTATATATGTGTGTGTGTGTTCCAGCATATCTTTACTAATGAGGACCAAATGTCCCACAAGCACAGAAAGATTAGGAAAATCCTCCACAGTGAGAAAATTTCTTTACTTCTCTAAGAGTTTATTTTAGGATTAGGCCTTGGGTTTATAGTGGTGATTAGAATAAGAGTTGAGGTTACATTAGGGTAATGAGTGAGGTTAGCTTAGGGTTAGGAAATGAATTCAGAGTTAAAAGAGAATTCGGGTTGTTTTTCTAGACTGGGCTTTTGCCGTAATCACAATTGGCTGATGAATGGACTGTCACACTGAGCACAAAGCAAATAAACATTCTTTCAGCACAATGACATGAACACTGCGGTCACGTATATCTTCAAATTCCTGCGGTTGAACAATAATTACAACATTTCAGTTCTTACATTTATTGCATACTTCCTTGTTTACTTTACTTACTAAGACTGTAGATCTTCTGTTGTGTTTGAATCATTTTGGAAAAACATAATGCCTTTTACTTTTTGAAAAACAGTTTATTTTAACACCACTGATCTAGGATTTATAAGCATTGTATATACTTAATAAATGGTTTATAGCACACTAATTAGATAGAAGGACACTTTAATGTGTGCAGGCAGGTTTAAAACAGCTGAGCTTCAAGATTCACTCTGACCTTCGGAAACAGTAGTTTTAATAATCATAAATCTTGTAACTTTCCCTTTACAAGTTTTTTTGCAAAGCTTTCAGCCACATCTGGTGGCCTTTGTGAGTGTATAGAGTTTCGTCTATTTAGAAATAAATAAATAATTTATCAATTAAAATAATTTAAATACACATCTGGTTAATAAACAATAAGAGGAGTCATAGTTGTTCACAAATACATAAAAGTAAAACATTTGGGGAAAGACTCTGATTCTCCTTTCTGACTCCTTTCTGAAAAGTTGAATGAGAAGATCAGTACCACTCTCGTGTCTGTATGGTGAATATTAAGCTACAGCCAGGTGGTTAGCTTAGCATAAAGACTGGAAACAGGGGGAACAGCTAGCCTGACTCTGTCCAAAGGTAACAAAATCCACCTACAGTTTGCTGTTTTATGGAGGGTTATGTGCTATCTAGGGTTCAAGAATCTTGAATCCCTCCTGGTTGCCTGGCAACTGACAACAAATAGTACGGCAAATGACCCCCCATAAAGCAGAAAACCCTTTTTGTATGGATTAAACAAGCAAGACATAATGTTTTAATTACAGAACTTTAGAGGGGCTAGTAGGCACATTTTGTTATCTTCTGACAGAGCCAGGCTAAGTGTTTCCAGGCTATCTGCTAGGCTAAGCTATGCTAACTGGCTCCAGCTACATAGTTAACATACAGATATTAGAGTTGAAATTGACTTCTCATCTTCTTCAAGTCTCTGCAGGTGTATTTCCCAAAATGTCAAAAAAAAAATCCTTCAATAAACACTTACAATTGTGCTAATGTCCGCTCACAACTACTATTTAGAATTAACTATTCACAAATAATTTGTGTTTTTAGCGAGAAAACATGGTTATAGTGTGACTAGCCTCTGATGCACTGAACTGCCAACAGAGAAGGTTAGCACTGTAAGTGAAATATCAGCGTCTAAACATTCCACTGTAATTGCAGTCATCTTGTTGACATAGACATGTTTTTCCCAGCTGGAAGTCTGCTGTTACACAGAAGACTAGAAGGGTTTACTGGATGAGCTCATGGTACAGTTACATAATGTTTCACTGTAACCCTGCAGTACAGGCCTCAACACGTTTCAGGCAGGGGGTACTTGGACTTTGGATGTAAACAGGTTACACTGCACTGTGGTGAAATGATGTTTTATTACTTATCAGTAGTGATACCTGAAACTCAGATCTACAGGATGTAAAGCTTTGCAGTAAAGTAAGAGATCAAAGATCGAATACAATCAATTATCATAATGACAGAGCTGACAACTGGAGGATAAATAGCTACAATTATTAGTATTAATACATCATTAGTAACACAATGGAGTTGAACTCTACCTGCTGAGGTAGATTCGCTTCTCGGTCAGCTGTCCCGGGCCATACTGGGGGTGAGTATCTGACTCATTCCTCATCACCTCCACCCCTTCTCCCCCACCACTCTGCTCACAGCTGTGCTTACTGATCATATACAGCTGCCCAATCCTGTACTGGAGGTCGAGAACAGGTTTAGGATGGGGTTTATGGAGATGGGGATGGGGTGAAAAAAGAGAAAAAAAAAAAAAAACAGTGGTGAGAAAACATGAAGCAAATTATGAGTGCAGTGTTAGATTCATTTAAGTTATGTTTGTTGATTGCGATCATGCATTAATCAAGATTTTAATTGAGAAAGTAGGTCTTTATGTTCATCTCTGATATCTTAAAACTATACTGTATAACTCACATATTTTTCCTCTTACAAATGAAAAGTTGAATTCATTAACAATTAAAGGCTTCATCGTTGGATTCAATTCTCTTAGAGGTTTTACAGTTACAGCCTTTCTTGATTTGGTAGGGCCAGTAGCTTATAGAGGCTAATAAAAGAAGCTCAGAGCAAGTTCAATCAGGAAGACTATCTTTATGCCTCATTCATTCACAATTCTCTCTCCTATTCTCTCTCCTCCTGCACAGCTTCACAGACTCCTTCAAATACAATGTCCCGATGGGGTCTAATTGCAAAAGACTTTTCACATTTCTCATCTTTATTGCACACAAGTCAACTAAATATTTATGTTATTTAATGTAGATTTGTAGTGTTTGCCCATTGGAATTAATGTAAAACCTTGTTGTATTTATTATAAATGTTTTTATTTTATTTTATGGTTACTCCACGTTGGGTACACTTATGATACTGTGTTACTATGGCCTACTTTTCCAGCTTCATGTATGTGATTTGGAGGCTGTCACATTGTAAATTGATGTTTAGTGTTAATGCCTTCCTACTGCAGGTGGTTGTTTGCAGATTTGCAACCACTCCAGATTTAAGATGGCTTCTCACTGTCTTAAACCATTTGCCTGATGTAGGTCTAGTACTAAAGCGCATGTATTCGTCTCTCCAACTATTGTTAGCAAACTTTGGATGGAGCGGTTCACTGATGTTACAGTAGGATTCTTTTCTACTTGTTCTAATATTACACTACATTTTAGCATTCAGCATCATCCCATAGACTAATTGCTGTGGCCACAGTAGTGACTCTTACATAGTTATATAGTCTCAATTTAGTTTTTTTGAGTTTTTCCTAATCCGAACAGTGGGTCTAGGGATAGTGTGCGCTGTGCGCTGTACAAATTTTGAAGCCCTTTGAGGCAAATTTGTGATTTCAGGCTATTTAATAATAAGGCTTGACATTTAAGACAAGGTTTAAATTGAAAGATATCAAAATTTCTCACACTGATGGCCAAAAGATAATAATTTTGAGGACTTCAATAACCAAAAATCCAGTCACATCTATGTTGAATCAATGAACTGCACACTCCATTGAGGAAATTATAATAACCATCAGCCACTAAGAGCTGGTGAGAGTGATGACAGAAAAATCTCCTGGCAGTTGGTTCAGCCAGAGTTGCTGAGTCCGATTTTGTCTCGACAGGCACTTACTCAGTGCTGCTTAGGCGCAAGCTTTGTATTTGCTCTTCATTTTTTAAATAGTCACTTGCTATGTATAAAGATTTCCCTCAAGTGGCCATATCAAACATCAAAATTTAATTTGGCCAGCGAGGGTGAATGCATGGTGTCTGAATTAGGGTGAGGAGGGGGCTTTGTTCTCTGCTGCAGCCCCAGTTTGTGTGCTGATGAGGCAGGAGTATTCTAAAGAGGACGAGGCCTTTGGACATCAGGAGCGGCCTCCTCCATGAGCTCAGTCTGACAGATTATGTATTCACAAACCACACACTTAACACAATAATACAATAGATTTTTGCACTGATGCCGCTGTCATTCTCTGTCTTTTGCTCCACAGCATTATTTCTGTGTACAGTACACTGTGTTTCCTTTCATTTCAAATCACATGGTGAACTTTGTTTTTAAAGTTATTATGAAAAAAGCAATAAAATTATAGTGTAAACAACTAAACTGTTCTTCTGTGGCCACATAACGTAATTCATTTTGTTGCCCTATATTGCTGTGCCACTAAAGCATTGTTTTAATTAAAAGTAGAAACAGAGAAAGATGGTGAGGAAGAGAGAAAGAGGAGGGCAGCTTTCAGTTTGCCATCCTTCACTGTACTCTACTGACATCAGTGTGACACTCCTCCTTCTTGTTCCAATTACTGTAGAATGTCAACATTCAATATTTACTTATTGGGTATTCATGGGACTTAATTAATCAAAGCGATGGGTGCTTAATAGACTACAGAGGACTGAGCTCCTCCCACACACAGGTTGTGAACGTTTCACTTTCTAGAAAACTAATCTTGGCACCAAGTTGAAAAGACTTATCTATCCTTAAATCACCATTATGCACTCTGAATGGCTGTGATGAGTAATGAAAGTCACTCAAATTCATTGGCAGCTTTTGGCACATATTTTCCTCCTACTGTCTTTTTAAGAAAAAAAAGATAACCGGTTTACAAGCAGCGAGTTTGTCATAAATTCCCAGGAGTATAAATATAGCCCATCATTCTGTAGTGGAGACAGATAGTGTCAGTGTGACGGCAACCGAAAATGAAAGAATTTAAGATTAAAAGGAGGTACAGCTCAGAGCAACTTTTTTTTACTAGTCATAAAATGCTAAGAGCAAAGACTTTGTTATGCAACCCTGGATCTGTCCACTGAAAATGAAAATGCTTTTGCGAGACGCTTACAAAAGCCTTAACTAAATATTTGCAATTGATTGTGTACTCAGCTCCAAACATTTACACTCATCCCTAAATAATAATCTGCCTGGATCAAGCGCTTCTAATTCCCTTTAAAGTGTTGATGTACAGTCTATAAAAAGTATTCATCCACCTTGGAAGTTTGCATGTTTTATGGTCTTCCAACATTGAATCAAAGTAGATTGAATGTGGCCTTTTTGACACTGATCAACAGAAAAGCTCAGCTTTTGAGGATGGCCTGCTCTAGGCAGATTTACAGCTGTGCTTTACTCTCTCCATTTCCTAATGAGTGATTCATCTGTCGAGATGGAACTCTCCTTGTTTCTATGCCCTGACTTGTGGTTTTTAATCTTCATGGTGCAGGTTTTGCCATAATACTGACTCAGCAAAAGACGGCCCTTCCACATACAGGTGTGTTTATACTAGAATTAACTTAAACCCCTCGACTTCAGAAGATCTCTATTTAACTTATTATATGACCAGTGCTGCACCAGTAGGTGAGTCCTGTGAAAGGGGAAGAAGATCTGTTTTTAGGGTCTTTTCTGTTGATCAGTGTCAACAAAAGCTACATTAAATCCAACTTGATTCACTGCCATAAAGTAATAAAACATAAAAACGTCTAGTAGGAGGAAATACTTTTTACTGTTCATTATTTCAAGGTTACAGGTTGGCTGATGAAATAAACACATTGTGCAAAGTGACTTGAATCCTTTCCTTCCCCGTACTCTACACACACACAGGGAAAAAGTTGGGCTTCAGTGTCTTGCTCAAAGATGTATTCATCATGTGCATATGAGGAGCTGGAGATTGAACCACCCACCCCTCTAAGCCACTCTACCCGCCTGAACTACAGCCGCCACACATCGGCTTCTCCCACAGCAGAATACAATAGTGAACATTCCTTAACACAGCTGAGCTGTATTATGTTACAGAAGCACTACTGAATATTCCAAACCAGAAATATGAAGCAATGGTTAGGCCGTTGTAAATAGCTTGGACTGTAGTAACTGTCACGATTTGATACTGACTCAAATAAGCTGCACTTAAACTTACATTACATTCAGGCGAAAGAGGATTTACTGCAAGCTCAAGTTTCTGTGTGCCCTGTACTGATACTGTAAATCCTATTTTGGACTGCTATTTGTCACTGTCATTGTTGTGGTAACAGGTAGAATTGAAAGGGGGGGGGGGTTACAAGAGGTGATGAGGACATCCTTTTTGAAGGACACTGTGGTGCATAACTCCCTCGTCCGCCCACCTTTCTCCTCAGCGGAATCTCCTTTGTTTATAAACCTGCAGGCCAAATGCCTTTGTAGGTCTTGCAAAGCTGTAACCAGTCCAACTAGTTTTGAGCTAGGAGTGCTAGAGCAAGCGAGGGAAGTAGAGAAACAGATGGGAAGATAATTTAGATACAGTAGTGCTATGATGCTACTAGCCAGGTGTTTGGCTCCGTCAGATTGGCCGAGCCTGCCGGTGCAGACGATACCTCGCTACCCAATGTGCCATAGCTCCCACAGAGCAGCCACGGGAGGTCTGTGTGCTCTGTTGGCACTTTTCTTATCAGCGCATTAACACTTTCAAGATTACAAGTGAAAACAACACTTTCACAATTGAAATAAGACCCCCTCTTTTGTCTGTCATTTTAAAGTTGTAGGAGGGTAGTGTGTGTGTGTGTATGAGTGAGTGTGGGAAAGACAAACACACTTACCTCATCCACAGTAAGTGGCATACATATGCGGTACTCTTTCATCAACATGGTGCTGTTACAGTGAGGACTGTCTTTGAGAACTGTGTCTGTGCTTGAGTCTGTCTATCTCAGCTGTCTTTGTTGCATAGTAGACGGGCTCAGGCAAGCTACACTGATGCTGGACCGCAGTGACCTCTTTTCTTACGCTCCTCTTCCTTTGTTTTGCTGATGTCAGTAATCCATGGAGTTAAGTCCAGACCTCTCTGTCAATGAGTATCTCTGTTGTTTTCTTACTTTCCTCCCTTTTTGCTCACTCCTCTCAGGCTCGCCTCTCCTTTTTTGTTTCTCTTGCTCAATTAATCTCCTGTACCAGACTTTTTAACTGCTGTCTCCCCCTCCTTTTCTTGTTACTTCTGCTTTCTCCTCTCTTGCCCTCAGCTGCCCTTTCTGTTTGCTGTTTTTCCTCACTTAGTTTCTGTTTGCTTTCTTTCACCACAGTGAGAAAGGTAGTAATTAGCTGTGAGGTGAGATTGAAACCTAACCAACTCTACCTGTTCTTTCCCCTTCTCTGCCTCTCTGCGCTTTGTTTAATTCCTCCTCAGACTTCTCATGTGTAACCTTGCTGGCTGCTCAGCGCTCCTCCCTTTTCCCCTCAACCGCCCTCCGCTGCTTTCAGTTCCTCACAAATTCCTTTGCCTGTTCCCTCCTTATCTCCTTTTTTTTCTAGTTTTTCTAGCCCTCCCTCCCTCCTTCCGTCCCTCAGAGTATCCACTCCCCGCCCACTGTACTTTACTACCTCCTCACCTGTGTCACCCCCCCCTTCTCCCTCTCTCTCTCTGATCTTTATCTGTTCTTTCTTCTCTGTCTGTCTGTTTTTAACAACAACACTCTATCAACTTTCTATATCTGGAAACATTAAGTAACACAGTTTCCAGACATCAGTCTGTGATTTTGAAGCACTTTCCTTCTTTACCTCCCTCTCAATACTCAGGTTATGACAGCACTCAGGGTACACAGAGGGGTAGTCAGGGTGGGCCATTGGATTAAATATTACCAGAGCCATGAGAACTTCCATTAAGCACAGCGCCAGACTCACTTACATTGTATTACCTCATGACCTTCAGCTGGGTTTAATTGAATCCGTGTTTAGTCAATGAGTACTGGGATCGAAGCAGTCATAATTTCTCGCCTGTGTCCGTCCTTGAGTCACGGGACTGCTCTCTCTCCTTTTGTGTGAGTGAGAGCTGACGGCGAGTGCCAAGCACATATTGTTGCCTCCCCATCAAATAAGAGAAGCAGATGTTTGGCTTCTCTAGGTCACTCTAACAAGGGGCCAAAACCAATAACCAGCCCTGGATTCTTCCCTTTCTGGTGGAATTCACTTGCTCTTCCTTAGTGTGCCTTGAGACAGGGCGAAAGTGGCTCTCTTCTCCACGTGTCTTCGCTATCATCTGCTCCGCAGTGAAAGAGCGGTGAAAACAAATTCCTGGTGGGGTTTGCTCCTATCTTATCAGATCAGTGTTTAGAGAAGGGAAGCCACTTCAGAGAGGTGAGGCGTGCTTTGCTTGTATCTGTCTCGAATTCTCCTTGGACTCAATGCACACAGAAGGCTCTGACAGCACATGCATCACCACAGTTTAAAGTTTGATTGGCAGTGACTTAGATGCGTATTCAGCAGTTGATCGAGTCATTGATCACTTTGATTGATTATTTAACTGTGGTATGAGGGTTGGGAGCTGGCTTAATAGTAACCATGGTGAGGAATGGCAGCGCTCTCGGATGACTGATCCTGCAAATTATGGAGCTGATCAAAAGGTTTCTTCATTGATTAATGGATTAAATAGATGTTTACTATAGTCTGCGATAAGAAAAGTCAGAAGTGGAACTAGTTATAGTTACTGAAGAATACAGAGAAATGTCTGTAATTTTTTTTCTATGTATGTTTGTGCATTTTCACACCTTAATTAGAGATATAGCAGTAGAGAGATGACAGGAAATGAGGGGAGAGAGATGGGGAAAGACATGCCACAAGGGCCCTATTTACACCTGGTATTAACATGAGATCTGTATCTGGATACATTATCTGGTATAATATCTGATCAATGGGACCTGGTATTAATAAGCGTTCTCATTATCTTAAATCTATCTGCATTGTGATCTGATCTCACTATGCAGATTAGTTAGGCGTGGCAGGTGGACCCCCAAAAACACACATTGTCCTTCCCATGTCTAGTAAAAGCATTTAATTACATTTTTGCGAGGTATAAGACCTGCTAGATACTGCTACTTGTAGAGCTAGCAGGAAGAGGCAGACTTGGGTGCAGTGTTGTAGTCCAGGAGTAGTCAAGACCAAGTCCAAAGAGGTTTGAGTCTAAATGAGAGAGACAGAGTCAAGGCCGAGACAGATAAAAAACAATGCTTTTGCCAATGAGATGAGTTTTGGCAGCCAGTTGTTTCCAGGCAGCCAATGTCAGTGCTCATTCTAAATGGATTTTGAATTAAAGCAATACCCATTATTGGTTTTGTTTTGAAGGAGGAATTCCAAGACTCAATATTTGACGAGACCAATAGCCAAGTCCAAGACAATACAAAAAACATCTCAAGTCTACTACAGCACTGGTTAGGTGCTCAGTGGTCACACTATATCACCACCTCCAAATGTGATCTGACCGGTTTGGTTGCGTTAAGATCACAATGCCTGCATTTACACATTGCATTAAGCCATAAGGTATCCATGTTAATGGTCTGTAAATGGTGGGAAAAGGTTCCCGTCTGAATTTAAACCAGGTATGAACACCTTCATTTTTGGCGTTCCCATTTTCAGTCTTTTTAAGTCAATGCAATGCTTTGGTCATAGACTGTTGTTAATGATGCTGTTGTTAGTATTAAGGAAAAAAAAAAAGTAGTAGATTTCTTCTGGATACTTTAATTTTGCTCAAACACTTAATTTGACAATTTACTCTTTGAATTTAAAATTAAAAAATGGAAAACAGTTCAGTTAGGGTTAGAAAACTCATAGAGAACTATGACTGACGTGTACAATGAAATCTCAGATAAATGTACTTTTGTGATGAACTGCAAAATGAATAACAAAATTCAGCTGAGGAAGCAGTGCAATACTTTAATCAGAATGAACATTTTGAAACTCTACTTCTGGTCAGAGCAGCCTATCCTTATTTTGTGTTCTGCAGGACGGAGGAGCAGGCGGTGATGGGATTGGAGGGGACTTCATCACGGTGCTTACACCTATCACATCCCCTCACATCATTAAATGAAAAATGAATGGGTGCACTTAGAAAACTGGTGAGGTGTTCTTTGACCTCTGTGTTTCCTGCCCCGACTATGTTCATGTGCGTGTTTGGTAGAAAGACAATGTGTATGTGTGTGTGGGGCTGTGTGTCAGTGCTGCGAAGATGGTGAGCAGTATGGATCTGTATTAAGCTGGAAAAAGGAAGAAGCAGATCATTAACTGGTGGGCCAGCTGCCATCGCTGCATTACCGGCTCTTCAATCTCAAGGTGTGGTCACAAGCCAAGGTCAGAGGTTCTCTGGTGTCCCCTCCAAGCATGTGAATGATGGACCCTCCTGCCTGGGCCTGAATTAGCGGTGGCTTGCTTGGATGGCACTGAGCTGATATGCTGCAGCTTTTTCATCTTACGGCAGGGTGAAAGGTAAGGCTCTGAGTAAGATTTAAGATGATGAATTCAGCAGTCTGCGAGGATAAGGTTTGACTGGTTTATGAGCTCCGTGTTGTACAGTTATGAAGTGTGGTAAGTACCAGCATCTCTCTGTGAGTGTGTCCGGATTCTCAGCCTCCCTCCCCTTCCCTCGTTTATCACAAGAAGCCCGCCGGACGCCTCTGATCTCTGTTTTGGTCCAATCATCAAAAACCTGAAGTATTTAGGTCAGACTTTAGCCTAGCAAAGAAAGAGACAAGAGAGAAAATAACAGAGAGAGAGAAAGTACACATTCCATTATTGTCCTTTTTTCATAGTGTCTCAAAGCACAAACTCCGCCAGATGCAACTGACACAGCAGACAGAAAGGAGGCTGGTTGTTGTGCTAACATCTCTGTGGGCTGTGATGTATAATGTGTGTCTTATGTGTCTTGAGTAGGGGGGGGTCTGTATGTAGGTTTGTGTGGCTGGCTCCACTGTGTCAAGATGTAAGCTTAGTCTTAATCTCCTTGTAGTTGAGTATCAGGCTGGTGCTAAGACATTGATTGGACCAGCTCCTTAATTGATACCACTGGAGGACCGCCCGCCAGGGGGAATGTGGTTTCTATGTGTGTATGTGTGCCTTTTGGTGTGTTAGAAGTTAGAAGTGAATCCCCAGGAGACCTGGATGAAACAGAGCGCTCACTTATCCTTATCGAATCCCAGTATCGTGTTGTCAAGCTGTGTCCCACTGGGAAACGCACGCACGCCAGTGAGGGAGATGAGGTCTTATCCAACATCGTTAGGGGCTCCAGACAGTGGTCCAGGCCACGCCAATCAGTGCAACACCCCAACATGACAACTTGGCGCAAGAGAAAGTGCAACTGCCTTCATTAATTCCTCCAAACACACACACAGACAAACACACACACTAGGTGCCACTCACATGTACCCCCATTTTAACACATGCTATTACACACACACGCACGTCTTGCTCTGGTAATCAAGTCCTGAGACTCCAATGATAAGAAAGAATAATTCATTTGCAGCTTTTTTACATATTCATGAGCTCAGCAATATAGACTGAATTCCATACATTGTTGAACGTATGTTCCCAGATGAATTATAGATGTTATTTGAAATTGTTCAGTGTTCTTAAATGTCATCATTAATCTGAACAAGAAACAACAGTGCCAGCTCATATCCTTTGAGGAGAGTGAAAATGTGTTTTTGTCTCTGCAGAGTTTGTGTGTGAAGAAAAAAGATAAAGGATCCAGATCTATTCTATAGCTTGCATTATTCCTTTGTGTATTTGTGAGTCTGAGCAAGAGAGAGAGAGAGAGAGCAAGGAGGGTGAGTGAAGGAGAGAGAGTCCTCATGTGCATTGGAGGCAGCCAGAAGCCAGTGTGTATCTAAAGGCGTTCAGAGCAAGGAATGATCAGAGGGTGTGAGCCCAACACATTCATCAGGGCTCTCCACCGGGACATAAGTTGAGGCACACCACAGAGCCGAATAAAAAAGCCGTGGACCGAAAAGAAATGAAATAATTTATTCCAGGAATGGAGTGGAGGGGATTTGGAGAAGTATGTGTGGAAGGGGAAGGGCAGAGGAATGGATTAAGGCTGCGTTCAGTGTCTGCGTGAGATAGAGGCTAGCACTGTGGCCCTGAACTTTTTCCTATTCCACACACCGCCACTGAAAGGAAATTCAATTGCCACTTACCCTCACTCTCTGCCCGGTGTGTGAGAGCGGGAGGAAAAGGGAAAGAGAGATAGACTCAGCGAATGAATGCAAAGTAAATGCACACATATAGTGTGGGATGCAAGGTGGGGAAATTTAAAGAAAGTTGAAAAAGCCATCTCAAACTCTTTTAAAAACATGGCAGCGCTCTGTGGCCCCTTCACTCTTCTTTACTGAACCCCTTCCCTACTATCTGTCTCCATCTTACCTAACCAGCCCTCCATTATACCATCTTGCTCTATGTC